GGAGAGAATGCGTAGAATTAAGAATTACCAGCTGGAGGGAAAAATAGCAAACGTGTGCTCCACTAGCGAATTTACGTTCTGTCTAACCTTTTCATTTCGCCTGTTTAAATACTCTCTTAACTTAATTTGCTCCTGGCAAAGAAATAAGAAGTTCAGAAAAGATATCAAAATTTAAATAATTGGTTATTCAAACTAAGGGAAACCCTACAACCTTTCCTAATGACTTCTATGGATCCAGGTAGTAAAAATTCTCTTCATGCTGGCATTATGATATTCTCTTGAGCTATTATTTGGTAGATGAATTTAACACCTTTAATTCCAAAGAGGAGAGGCAGAATTCAATTCCTTAAAGTTCAGGGAAAAATTGTATTTCCTTAGAAATTCTAATCCGAGTATGCAAGGGTCTGTAATACTTGCTATCACATAGCATATGTAGCAAACCACACTTCCAAACGTCACTTCTAAATGTAGCAACGTAGAACTTCCAAATGTCACATTAACTTTTAATTTTCTATTGACGTTGATTTTATTCTCAGACAGTCTAAAGATAACACAAGGCGACATCTAGATGAATTTACCTTCCGATTGATGAGCCAGATCTGTTCCAATGATGGTAATATTGGCTCCTGTACCGATGATCATGCTGCAAGGAACTCCATTTATATGTCCCATGATGAAGAGTCCATTATTGCCGCCACTCATTGCAGAAATCTAGAAATCTGAAACACTTTAAAATGGGGCTTCTTAATATCTAGCAATCTTCGCACCATGGAAAGGCCATAAATCAGTTTTCCTCTTCACTTCCACAATTCCAGCAATTTTAGGGTCAGTTTGTTGTCACTCCTATTCCACCTCAAGGCACTGACTTGAAACGTTAAAGCATCTAAACAAGCAGTCACTTTATCAACTGGCTCAGTGGAGCATCTCTCATTGGGTGGTGATTTCTACAAGCTCCCTGCTGGACTGCCTGGAATTCAATGACATACACTAAACAACTTTTTAAATAATTGACATTTGCAGGGCCTTTTTGTATCCCCGGATCCCGGATGCTTCTGGCACGAGAATTTACCTAAAGTCTTTTAAACACTTCTCGCCAAAGTGCAATTCCAACCCCTCTGATAGAGCTTTGAAGTCTAGCCCCTGGTTTTCAGGCAGAGCTTGAAGGATACCTGCTGCGTTCACTCTTAGACAAGCGCAGAGGTGATAGGCCTTAGCTTGGGAATCCCATCCATTTACGTCCGCCACTGTAGAAAACTGAGTCTTCTACACTTGCCAGGAGCTCTTTCCATCATATGTGGATAGCTTTCGAGAGAGACAAGAAGACAGGGCTACATATTTGAAACCATCAGAACTGTCTTCCATAGTTTCAAATTTGTTTTCTATTATGGCACTAATTTCTTTTTTAATTTCCTCTTGCACTACCTAAATCTTTTCTTGAACTGACTTTTCTTTTCCCAACCCGCTTTCGTCTTTTCTTATCTGTTTTAACCTCTTTTTTAACGGATTTTTTACTTCTCTTTAACGGATTTTTGACTCTCATCTCATCTTTAAATGCAACAAAGGCTGCCAACAATTGTCTTAGCAGCTCTTCCATCTCTCTTGTCTCCGGCATTGAATCCCACATATGATATCAAGAACCTGTTGCATGCATAATGGATTGAATGCACATAACAGGTTCATAATGAGTTGAATAATAATTCAACCCATTATGATGGACTAAATGCACACAGAACTGATGACAGGATAAAATTTATTTTACCAAACGAAGCACATTAAAATTCTGGAATTTTCCACAAAAATATACTTACGGCTCTTCTAAGTATGAAAAAGAACAATCAGTAGTTATTGTTTCATTCTACTATGTACATTAAACAGAACATAATGGAAAGATTTTCCAAACAGCAAAGCTTGCATGATTTGTCAATATTCCAAATTCAGCTATGAACTAAAAACTGAGAAATGATTCTCTCTCCAGTCTTATGCAGCTTCCCCCCAGCCGTCAAAAGATGCGTAGCAACTTCTATTCTTCAAAATTACTGGAGGGCGGTTGAAGTTACATATAAGGGCCGGATACGGTTACAGTTATATATAAGGATCAAGTACAATATCAGTTAGTTATAAAGATACCGGACTGAAATATCGTCAGATGGTGGCCAAGTTTGGCTACTTTGGGCGATTTCTCACCAAATGTAACAACAAAAATTAATTGCCAAAACCACTGGCAGCTTGGCGATATTTCGGCAATTTAGCAAGATGGTCATTTACCTCGATTTTAATAAGACTTGACCCTGCAATCTTATTTTTCCGGCAGAACTTCGCCTCTTCAGATTCTTTGTGTTACATTATACAAAAGCTTCTACAATTTCACTAAAACATATATTCAAAATCAGTAATAATATTGTTTTATTAATTTGGGCCAAGTAAGTGTTATCAGCTGACATTGATGCTACTCTGAATACATATCATCAACTGACAATTAACTACACTATTTTCCAATGCATAAATCCAGTGCAAATTGTGTACTGTGAATGGAGAGCTTTAAATTCATAGGGTGAAACATACCACATCAGCAGAAGGTACTATACAAATGTCATATGTTATCAGCAGAAGGTACTATAAAAATGTCATATGTTATCAGCAGTACAAATGTCATATAATGTTAACAATTAGGATTCACTCTTCCCAAACATGCAAATTAGGTATTTTTTGGTTGGGGGACAAGCGTTAAGGGCCGTTCCCACTGGGATTTATCTGAGCTAATGGAGTCAGTTCCATGTGTCAACTAGCTCCACTATGCCTGCAGTTCAGATTTTTTACTTTGCTGCCCTATGGCGAAAAACTGGTTTTGCAGATGGGTCAGCTACGTCATCTGTGTCCATTAGCTCAAATAAACCCCAGCGGGAACAGTCCTTTACAGTATATGAGTTAAGTGCTGCAAGAAATTTCTGAAAAATGATTCTGGCTATTATTTTATTATGTAAGATGACTTAATGACAACAGGGTGGTTCAGAACAGTGGCACTCTGTCAGTTGACTTGAAACAGGACAGTCTATTAAAGATCTCAATATTTTATTTTTTTCCTGCTGACTACTATGTAAATGTTGACAAATTCTATTGAACTTTCTTTCCTTATATCTTTCTTCAGAATCCGTGTAGCCATAACAATAAATACCATCTTGTATAAAGAGAATTAATTTTCCACCAGAATAAAATCTTGAGCTTTCTCTAAACATTTCCAGTCTAAGATTTTCCAATAAATTATCAATGCTAGATGACATAAATTTAAATGAACTCAATAAAAACCTCAATTTCATTCTTTCGATTTTTTACTAAAAGATATACATTTTCTTTCAGTATTTGGAATAATTTCTGTATTGTTTTTAGCCCATCCAATTTCTTTTATAAATAAATGTGCACTGTATTGTGCTAATTTATGAATTATCAGAAGAATGAAATTAGGAATTTGATAATTTTTGTTGAAAATATTATGTGCTGATGTTCTCTATTCTACAATTAAATGGCAATGATCTGTAACTTTCCTTTTATCACGTGAAGCATCTGGTATATTTCCTTTTTACATAAATGAAAAACATTTGTACATTTTGTAATGCTCTTGACCATAGTCTATTATGTTCCTGAAGTATCTATGGTTTTCTATTTTGTCATCAATAAATTGTTAATATCTCAAAAGTCATTTACTAACACGTATGGAAATGTATGAACTATGTCGGTATTAAAAAGGCATTATTTACGTTATTTTCACTTAGAAAAGAAATCAGCAAGAAACCAACATGGTGAATCCCTTGGGTGCTATTTTTTTAATATTTTAAGCAGATAAGCAAATTTTACCATGAACTTTTCCGGTTTTTAGAAGACCAAATACTTCATTTACATAGAACAAATTTTTTGCTGTAATCACTTGGCGTTTAAGAAAACAATTTAGCATTTCTAAATGAGATCAAATTTATTTCTTTCAGTTATGTATTTTATGCAGCAGAAACTGCAGTCAACAGATAAACAGATACTTCATTAACAGATAGCAGATAAAAGATACTCGATTTTTAAGACACTTTTTTTATTATAAAATTTGAATCTTCCTCAAAGTATCCTAGCTTGGCAACCTCTAATTGAAAATATGAGCCTGTAAATAAAAAATCTGGAAAATTATTAAAATTGCTAATTTAGGTTTATTTTTTTAATTCCTTATTTATTTTGCACGCCTTCTTATTAGAAAAATCACATTTCCTTTTTGTTATCCTCAGGTTCTGAATTAACATAATTCATAATTAGTTAAGGTTTTTGTAAGTTAGTTAATCTTCCTTCAATAGTTGCAAAATTATCAACAATTTAAAACTTTTTTAAGTGCTAAATCTAACGAAGCCATTTGCATTTGAAACTCTTAGTAGAATAATGAATTAAGACAGTCTTAATACAAACTTCAGTGTCTTTTTGCCGAATGAGACCTAAAGTAGAGTTTCAATTTTGTGCACTGTAAAATCTGTCTTCTTGTATGCTAACTGAATTTCTTGTTTTTGCATAGTACTCTACATTAAAGCAATGCAATATAATGAAATAAATCACAACATGAAAATTCAACAAAACAAAAGTTTCTTCCACAGCCATTGCTACATAGTGCCACCTACCCCACATTGGTATATAAAAGAGTATTAGAATGTTAAATTCAGGAACTTTTCACCATTCTTCATATATTAAACCTACAGCATGGCACTTCTCTATTACACAACAACCAACCTTTAAGTCTGTAATGAGGCTGACAACATTAAATTTAGCTCTTTCATGAAGCCTAAGTCTGAAAACAATTTTAATAATTATATACATAATTTCTAGTTACAGATTAAAAACAGTAAAATCTAATAAATGCAAAGTTTACATATTAAAATATTTTTCTAAACTTTACATAAGCATTACATTAATTAAAATAATTATTAATTATAAGTTTAAAGAACAAACATTTTTATTTTACAATTAATGAAAATTACCTTTGCAGCTAATTCTTCGGGAGTTAAATTTGGATCATACGGAATAGGTGGACCAACATATGTTCTAAAAGGGAAAAAAAAAAAAAAAAAGACTTTTAAACAATATACGATAACAAGTTAAAATGGTACCTTTGTGTTATAACAGTCACTATGAACCGAAATAAATCACTTCTCCAATTAATCGTGAGAGTTCATCACTGATCAAAAATTAATCTTACTTAACACTTTACACAGGCTATTTAGTCAATAAAAGTTCTGCACATTTTAAACTGTTTCTTAATCCTCTTGATATAAATTTTTTCATCCAAAAGTAAATAAACTGCAACACTTTTAGAAACGGTAGCTAGAAACTTAAGAACCAATTCCTAACACAAATATTTCTCTTTCCTGCAATTTTTAACATTGCATTTGGAAATCCTTTCATCATTGACACATAAAGGAATTTCATGATAATTTTCCCATGTTCTATTATGAGATAAAATGCTTTTTATTGAAAGAATAATACATACGGCTTCAAATTACCTTGAATAATATTTAGCTGAATTTATGCAGCACTGCTGCACAGAAACATAACCATTCTGAAATAATACATTAACAGTAATCGATGAATCTAATAAATAGCACCAGAAACTAAATGTGAGAAATAAATGTAAATGAAAAGCTGTATACAAGAAATAAATATAAGTTTGTTACCTTCTACTTTTTTCTGTACCATAATTGCTTCCCCCTGGGGGTTGACTCAGGCGAATGCCAGGGAAGTACTGGTTAGGATCTGTACCTAGGCAGTCTCAACCCCGGGGGCATAATAACAGACTTCACAGAAAGCCTGAGAGCTCTCAGGACAGAGTAAGGCTCGGCAGGGCTTGTCTGCCCTTGCTCTGTGGGGTCACAACATTGTTGACTAAACAAGGGCGGGGCGGGGCGGCACTAATCCCGTTTGGCAGCTCTTAGGTCACCTTAGGGAGCCGTCTCGTTCCATCAGCATTGTACCATAATTGTACCAAATTCTGTACCATAATGCTCCACTATGATGACGCAAGTGGTCTGAAAGATTATGTTCAGCCCTGTGTCTGAGCAGACGTGAATTTCACTTGTGGCTCACGTTAAACTAGTGAAATTCTGCACTTGTGTAACAAGTACACTTACAGAGTTAGGTCTCCGTTTTTCCGCATAAGGTCTCTGCCTTTTCTGGGAAAGGAGGCTAATTTTGTGCATTCTCGTGCGCTGTACGGTTTCTTTTAGTGGTTCGCTACCTTAGTGGCATTTAGCCCGCTCCGACCTTAGGGTTTCGAGTGCAAGGTTCCCAATTTAGTGGCTCGTTACCTCAATGACGCTATAGCCATTGGATCCCTTTGATACACCCTAATGCATTTGGTTGTTATATTGACAGAGATATTTATGGTCTTAGACACGTAATAAAATAAAACTTGCTAGAGCCACCCAATTGGGCAAGGTTAAGACGCATAGCTTCCAAAAGGATTACCTCTAGGTGTCCGCCTTAACCAGTGCCCCGCTTAACCTGTCTTCTTAACTGGTTCGCTGGTTCCAAGGTATTTTAAAGTCCACCCTTTGGCTGTGCACTCGCGACGGTATGTAGAATTTCTTGTAGATTACACCATTAATCCCTAATTAACAAGTAATTTTGCACAATGGGGGTGTAGTTCTAGTTCTGGTTGTACCATAACTGTTTTTAGTTGAGAATCCCCCCATGGTATCTGCTATAACACAAAAATATCACAGCAACATATAAAAAATTTTGTTCTCATTGTCATGCAAAACAATAATTCTGAAATGGATAAATTTGATTTATCACTGTTGTTAAAGAATCTTGAAAATACTTGCTAAAGAATGCTTACATTGATATTAAATTTGCTATGCTTGATACTTAAAATAAATTAAATAAATTTTTGCTAACGATAAATTTTAGTGTTTAGAAGAGGGGGAATCCAAAATGTTATGGAATAGTAATTAGTCTTTCAATAAATACTTCAGTACTTTAAATGATTTCACTAAAATAATTGCATTAATTCAGGAAAAAAAAAAACATTAATGAGGATATCAAAAATTGCAAGATAAGATATCCAGCAGTAATGCAAGTAATGTTTACATAAAAACAGATTCTTAATCAAGTTACACTACCAAAATTAAAAACAAGGTTCATTTAAAAAATCATTCATTAAAATATTGAAACTAAAGGTTTTTAAGACAATTATTTGAATATTTTCATGTATCCATTTTTTAATACTAATTTAATTTGCTAAGTTACCAGAAAAGCAAGTGCAAAATAAATTTAATGCAAATAATCTTACTTTTACAATTAGCATCGAAAGACTGATCAAAATGCATAACTTTGAAAACAGACACATTAGAATTGATTTTATTAAAAATTTCTTTTTAGGTAAAACATCTAAATGATTTATTATGATTATAATAAACAAAATCATTAGCAGACAGTCTAAACCAGCACTTCCCAACGTGGGGCCAATGCCCCACAGGGGGACAATTTGATTGTTGAGGGTCGCAATTCAAAAATAACACGTCCAGAGATTAAGAGCACAACTAACGTTCAAATTTCCAAATTTTCTTCAAGAAATCAAAATTTTTCGAAATTTCATTTTTTATTCCCACAAATAAAGAATAAGTGTATACGTACAAAAGTTTTAAAATTGCGGTTCATTTAAAATATTTTCTAAAGAATTTTCGCTGTAGACATGGACAAGTCTTTTAAAGGCCATTTATATACCTGACACATTACGATTTCCAGACATTTTTCAAACATCTCAGCCAATGAATTCATTATATTTTTTACTGTAGGAGCTGCAACAGGTATATTATTATTATTCTCTTGAATGGCAACTGCTTCCAGCTCTGTTTATGTTTAGCGGTGTGACGACGTTTTTAATTCATTTTGACTGATTATTTTTTTCAGCCCTTACTGAAATGAATGGTGCAAGCAAGAGAACAGTTTGTCAGTATTTGGAGGAATATTTAAAATTTGGTTTCATACCCACCCTACAGAATGTACAGTCACCTTTTTTTCTTTTATGCCAACAATGTCTGACCAATAAATCAATGAAACGAGGTTGTCTTGAGACGCATTTGAAGTCGAAACATTATGTTCATATTAATTCAGGTTTGAATTATTTTCAAACCTTAAGGAAGAATTTTGAAAAAAGAATAACATTAAAGTCTCTATTTACTGTTCATAATGCGACTGTTAATCATACTCTTCAGGCTAGTTATCACATTTCATTACTCAGCACTAAATCTGGGAAAAGTCATACTATAGAGGAGAATTTAATCAAACCATCAATATTAGCATTACTTAAAGTTATTCTAGAAAAAGATGACGAAGACGATAAAGCTATGCCACTAAATAACAATACTATTAGCAGACGAATAGATCAAATGATTGAGTATAATGAAATATAAATTGTTGAAAAGCTGAAAACAAGAGACTTTTCGGTGCAAATGGATGAACCAACTTTGAGAGATAGTAAGGCCATACTTATAAGTTACTAAGATATATTAATGAAGGTGATTTTGCTGAAGAAATGTTATTCTGTAAATCATTAGGAAGCACCACTACCTCCAAAGAAACATTTACAATAAGCTAAAAAATTACTTAGATGTCAAAAATATACCAAATATACCAATGAAAAATAAAGCATCTTGTGTTGCAGATGGTGCTCCTAATATGATAGGGAAGAAAAAGGTTGCTTAAAATTGATGAAACATAAGAATCCAGAAATGCTTCTTGAGCATTGTGTTATTCATAGGGAAAACCTGGTAGCTAAAAACATTTCGCCTGTTCTAAATGAAGTACTAAATTCAGTTATAAAGTTTATCAATACTATTAAAGCTAGTGCTAAATGTGAACATCTTTTCAAGTTATTTTGCAAATAATAAAATGAAGACTCTATGAGAATTATACTTCACACTGAAGTAAGATGGCCATTGAAAGGGAACTGCTTGAAAAGATTTATGGAACTATTTAATACTCTTAGTTATTTTTAAGCAACAAACCTGAAATGAAAAATCTGTTAAAGGTTGATGTTACGGCATTTGTAAGTTAGTTAGGCGATACCTTTGAAAAACTAAATATATTAAATAAACAACTTCAAGAAGCAAATAAAATTCTTCTCAATGCAAAAGCGAAAATATTTGATTTCATTACCTTTATTGAATTATGTCAGGCATATATTTACAACAAAAAATGCTAAAGGTTTCATTGGCTCCAAATGTAAAATGACTGAAAGTGCTATACATGTTACTGTGGATCATCTAAAAATTTTATTGGCTGATTTAAAAGAAAGATTTTTCTGATTTGAACTAAATTCATTTCTCAACTTGGATGATGCAGCCAATGTTAGTGGATTTGGCTGATATTTCAAATATGCAGTGTCAAGAACTCCCAGAAATGCAAAATGATGAGTCAATTAAAATTTTATTTAATATAAAAAGAGCAACGGCATGGCTTTGCAAGTAAACCAAAATCAAATACCTAAATACAAAAAAATGCACAAAAGAACGATTGTTACTGTTTCCATCTTCATATTTATCTGAATGCAAATTTATTGCCATAAATGATTTGCTGTTAAAAAAAGAAATCAACTGGATATAATAAAACATTGAGACTTGAAACTGAAGTTAACTAAACTGGAACCTGACATAAAATCTGTTTGTAGCAAACATCAAGTGCAAGGATCTCATTTAATTTAAATAATAAATAATTACTAATACTTAAAATAATATAGGAAAAAATTTTCATTAAAATGATTTTTTACTTGAATGTCAGCTCTCCATTATATGTTTTGAAAGTTTACTTTATTTGCTCACTAAATTTCCTTGTGATTTTTTCCTAAAACCTATCATTTAAGTTTCTTTCATGAACATTCAATTTTTGAATATTAAAAATTATGTGTATGCTAGGGGATACATAAGAACTTTAGAGAGGATTGGATGGGGTATAGCACAAAGAAGATTGGGAAACACTGGTCTAAACTAACACATCAAATTACTACACTTCTGAAATAGCAGTATCTAGGTCTAAAAGTTGATTATCAGATACCAGGCATCTGAATAAAATGGACGAAAAAAAGAAAGAAACAACTTTTTTGTCTTAGAATTTCAACAATACTTTAAAATACCACCACAAAGAAATGTTTCTAAAATATACTTAATTTTTGCAAATATATATTATTTTAGATCAGGACTATTTATGAGATTACTCCTAAGCTTACATTATGCAATTTATAAAAAATTTAATACTGACGATGTTACATGAAAGAAAGAACAATTAAAATAATTTGCTAAACACATTTAGTTTTTATGAACATTTGCTAAAAACATTCTATTTAACACATTAAGTACCTGTACACATAAGGGTATACTGCATGAGGGGTACTGTATGATCCAAGTATATTAATTCATAAATTTGAAAAAAAATAACTGCAAGTTATTATGTATAGGACACGAGTGATTATGTATAGTATTTTATATTAATTTTATTTACTTTTGAACAGTACTTTGTGCTTTCCAGAACACTGCAACTTAAATATTTTGAACACCATCTTGTAAGAAAACAAAAGGAATATTATTTCCAAAATTTTAGAACTTTGTACATTTTTAGGACTAATAAAGATTTACATTTATAAAATTACACACATTTGTAATGTGGACCAATATGAGCAGCGATTTGCAGTCAAAGAAATTTATATTCCCATATAAAACTACAGAAAAGTTGATCCACTAGAGGTACATGCAGCCACAAATGTGAACATTGCTGTGACCCACTGGTGAGTCATGAGGCCCCAAAAATAAATCTATCGTGATCTAATCGTGGATTACATGGTAGTTCAGGTGTTAAGCATCTTTTCATTAATGTTTCCCAAATTTCTTTATGATCCTTCTTTTAATCTGTGGTTTTTAAACACACATAAGAAGTTTAAAGATTCTAGCATTCTTTCAAAATTACAGAAAGAATAAATATATTATATACAGCATGAAGCTTATATGATACTGCTATGAGAAGAAATTTTATTTCTCAAGTGCCTGATGGAAGATCTGCAGCAATTTCACAAAGCACTGAAACATTTGCAGCTGTGGATACTTTTTCCCCTAAAAGAATTTATATTAAACTAATAAAAATGTACTTGAAAAAGGCAGAAACTTAACAGTAGCACGGAAAATTAAAAGAACAACTATAAAAATGCATGTAACTTGAATAACTCCGCAGTTAAGAACATGAAACTTGCACAAGCTCTTTAATTTGTTATGCCTGATATATTTTTTAAATGCAAAACTGCCTATTTCTAAGAGCAGCAAAAACGTAGGAAATGTGATACTGAATGAGGTAAGCAAATGTTGATGTTATAACTTTTTATACATATGCAGAAAAGTTAATAAGGTTTGTGGTCACCCCTGACCTAATTGCAAGCTCTGCAGTGATTTTTCATTCAGTGTATTAGATTCTCCAGGAGTTTCTATGATAACAAAATGCTTTTTCAAACAAATAATGCTCCAAAGCTTTTGGACAATGTAAATTGGGGGCTGCAGTCATATAAGTCAATGTCCTAGTGCCTCCCATCCATGTTTTCTTACCTATAAATCTGAAGAATATGCAGGCCCATCTATCCACTGTATTCCTTTCACCTTAAGATAATCAGTCACTAGTGCAATGAGATGGGGCATTAGGAAGTTACAACAAATTGCACCCCTCAAAACTTTGAATAAGGATCAAGAACCTTATCTCTCTATATCTCAGCACTTATAATTGTAGTGGCTAAAAAATATGTAGGTCAGTGAGGCCATTCATAATGATGCCCACCCACACCATAATTCCGCTGCCTTTTGTGTGAATATCTTTCCTGGGTGTTTTCAGCTAATTGCACTTGCTTAGCTCCCTCCAGACTAGCAATTCTGGAATCGCTCTTCAAACAAAAATCAGACCAGTGGATAGAACTAAGCTCGAGTCCATGAGTGCAACCAGAGACATTTCAATATCTAAATTAGTGATATAATATCAATTTGTTTTATCATACAGCCCTCTTTTATGCAACCTGTCACTCCCAGCATATCTGCATTATAAAATTCCCTTGCAATATAATATGACATCAATTGCCTATTTCTTCTTTTAGCAGTTGCTCTCAAATAACAATTCTGAATGTGTTGCAGTAATTTTTTTAACCTGATTATATGAAAACATCACAAGTATCTTTATATATAATTTTCAGGTTCTTAACAAGATGCATTTTGGTTATTTATTAACTCTACAGGTTTATATCAATGTCTGTCCAACTTCCATTGCATGCCATTGCTCACAATCCATCACATGCTTTATCAATGGTATGTTGAACAGCACTTACCGGCAATCCTTTCCACATGCACTGAACAAACCAACACAAAATTTTCCATATTTCTGTGAAGCAAAGACAGACAGTATGATAATGTTGGCCTTGAGCTACCAACTACCTTTCACTGGACTTCATTTAATAGAATTAACACAAAGCACTTTTATATATTTGTTCTTTTATTTTTTCCATCGCCATATTTAGCGAGGTCTTAATTCATAAATTTCACTGAAAATGGCAAAACTCAATGAATTTCCAAGAGTTTATTTCAGCTACAAGTATTTATGGTCACTGAAGCTCCAACGGTTTAAAAAGTAGATATAAAAGAAATGTGGCAATATGAATTTTAAGAAACTTGATTTTTAAACTATAAACTGAAACAATTTCTTAAACAGCATGAAATAAAGCTGTAAAGTCATATGACTATTCCGAGATATTTATAATAAAATTTCTGTACATGAAATATTTCACCTGGAGATGTTACAAACTGTACATAGTTTTGCAATTATGTAATGAGTTTATTCTTGATTTTCCAGAATTTATTTAAATTATTTATATAAATCATTTATTCTGTACTTGCCTTTACATTTACAATATAAGTATGGAATTATTTTACTTTTATTAAACATTATATTAAAAGATGTAATTTAATAGAAATCAGCAATTCTTACAGAAAGAAGAAATGTGATCACACCAAGAACGTTTTTTTAAAGAGCTAAAACAGCAAAAGAAGAAAACATTTCTAACTAAGAACAGTACACAAAAGGATTCTGATATAAACTCTAGATGTCATTTCAAATACTTTAACATTGCATATCAGATGTCACCGAAAGTAAGAAACTTAGTCTTTACTATTCAGTAATTTATTAAAATAAAACAGTTAATAAATACTACAGTCATTTATTGCAAGTAAACAAGAAAAAAAAAACATTTGAATAAACATCCAATATAATGCAGAAAATAAATGCACTTTTTTGTAACGTGTGCAAAATCTGATAAGAGTAAATGAATTATAATCAACCTTAATTTTACAGGAAATCCACCATAAATTGGAACCACAGGCAGACGAGTCTTTTCATATACTTTTCTTAACCAACCTGTTAAGATGAAAATAAGTGCATAATTACTGACAAAACAATTAAAAAATAGTTGATAATTTAAAAAAATATGTATACAGCAACATTTTAAAATGCACTGAAGAAAGCACTAGTATTAGTAACATCCCATTTACAAATAGTTCTAAAAAATAAAAATTTAATTAATAAATTTTGAAATGATAAAATAACTTACGACTGCCAGTCTTTACAGATCTAAAAGCTTCTCTTAAATTCTGTGTAAAAATTGGAATTATTGGCTGAAATAAAGCAAATGATAAATTATTTTTGTTTAAGAGAAATGAGCAATATAAAATAATTTGCATGATTCCAGTTCTTAAACAAACTCTTTATATACAACAAGTAATTATACTGACTACCATTAAATTCTCTTTCCCATAAAATCATCCTTCTTAATTTACTAGCTCACTATTTTAAAAATCAGAATAAGAAAGGAAAAGTTACTAGCAAGATTATTGAAGTTTTACACATGCACACGGCATCTCTTTAGCATTTTTGAAATTTGCAAGATCATCATGAAAGTATGAGAAAAGTAAATAAAATATACAATGCATTATTATTATTATTATTTCCTATTTTAATAGTCAATTTATTCTTAAGTTTCAAAGAAAAATAAAGATGTTGTTAATAATCATATGGATTTTCAGTGTTTAACTAAATATTAATACAATTATTTATTATACATTTGTGGTAGTTCCTTAAAATTAAATGAGTAAAAATTAATTCTAATTGTTCATACAAAAGAAAATATCATATTTGTATCTTCTATTCTAATACAAATGAGCAAATTCCTCACCACCACCAAACTGAAGAAAATAATTTTTTACTCTCAAACTGAGATCTTCACAGAAGATATAAGTTTTCAAATATTATTCCACAGACACAAAATCTATCCATAAATATTATCTGTAAAGTTATATTTCCTACACAATATGATTTTTTTCCAAGCATGTTAAGTGATGAGCATGAGAAATTTTACAATAAAATCTTTAGCATGCATCAGTATTATGAGAAGATTTTACTGTTTACTTCGGCAAGCATCTTACTACCTCAAAGATAGGGCACAGCATTGATTATTTAAGAGATAAAATACACTTGTTCGATGCTTCAATATTACAAGGTATACTCATCAAAAACAGAAAGTAGTAATCAGTTTCACATCATACAGTACCTCCATTTAAGATTTGCAAGAGATTTATCAAACAGTAATAATTAGAAAACAATAATCATATTTAGAACCCACATGAGAATAATCCATAGCCTTCAAGTGCATAATAAGTAAATTAATTAAAAGCATTTTATTTGTCAGGAGCAAGCACATGAACACTAAAATTCAATATTTTCCTAAATGCATTTGTTCCTTTAATAAATAACATTGTAGCTAGTATGTCACATATTAAAAAATTATGAAGCCCCTCTCAAATCTATGACAGTCCCACACTTGGAATGTTTGTTATCTTCTAGACTTGCTAAAAAAGTCAGTAAATGTTTGAAATTTGATGTAAATTGCTACTTTTGGACTGACTCCAAAATATGTCCATTCTGGATAAAAGATAAGGCATGTAAATACAAACCCTTTGTGAAATACAAAGTAGAAGAAATTCAAAATTTGACTAATTCTAACAAGCGGGCTCATTGTCCTAGGGAAAAAAATCCTGCAGACATCCTTTCAAGGGGTATTTTGGCCTTGAACTTTGCTGAAGATTCTTTATGATGAAATGGACCACCTTTGCTTAAATCAACCCTATGAGCGTTGGTCTGATAAGATTAAAACTGACAATCTCACTACAGATTTAGAATTATGATAGGAATTAGAAACTATAACATAAAATAAGGGTACAGTGAAGAATTCTCAGTTTGTTTTGTTTGAAGAACTAGAGTAACCTAACTTAATTAAAAGATTCGCTGGTAAACTTAGAAAAAAACAAGTAGAAATGGGATCTTCCACTGCAGTTGAACTCTTAAAGGAAGAACACGATTAGAATTAGTATGAACAAGAATCTGTGTACCCTTCCTTGTTAGAATACCTGAAAGGTTGTAAACAAATTCCTAATGAATCCTCTTTTTATAAGTTTGCTGCATTTTTAGATGTAAACTCTATTTTGCATGTGAGAAGAAGGCTTGAACAAAGCAGAATTTCCTTTAATAAATTTCATCCAGTATTTTAGCCAAGCTGTCCAAATTCAGTAAATTATTAATTTTAAGAGTGCATAACAAAATTTACCATGGTGGAGTGTCTGCGACTCTTGCTAAAATTAGAAATAGATTTTGGTTTCCAAAGGGTAAACAGATTATAAAAGGGTTTTTAAAAAATGTTCTTATTTGCAACAGACACTCGGTAAAACCTGCTAAACAAATAACAGCTCAATTGCCAAATGATCTAATACTGGAAAATCCCCCATTTACTGTCTCTGGAGTTAATTTCACTGCTCCAGTTTTTCTTTTTTGGGGGAAAGGCCACTCAACAAAAGTCATATATATATATGTCATATGGTTCACATGCAAAGTTACTAGAGCACTATAGATTGAATTAATTACTGATATGTTGATGAAAAGTTTTATTCTGTTCTTAAAACATTTTTTGGCAAGAACGGGGAATTGTGAGGTCATCATTTCTGGTAATGCTCGGAGTTTTAAGACTGTAGAAAATTTTGAAAGTTCCCCTCCCCCTTCAAATTTGGCTGATTCGGATTTAACAAATTTTGTTGATATACATGAAATACTGTATTTACTCACATAATAGTTGCACTTTTTTCGCCAATTTTTCATTGTGAAAGTCTAGGTGCATCTATTATGCGGGGAAATTCACTACACAAAATTGTACACTTTTCATGATTTTTTTCTGCTTCAAAAATGGGGCTGTGACTATTAAGCAAGTAAATAAGGTAACATGGCAGTTTATTACCCCTCATGTCCCATAGTGAGGTGCAGTCTAAGAAAGACTCACGAGGAGGGTAAAAGACCCTTAAAGGAAAATCCTTGGAAAGGCTAGTTTTAGATTCAATGAAATGTTGACCATTCGTGTGATAATCGAACTGGTACTAAATCACAGACCTGTTACTTATGTAAACAATTAGTTAGTTGAACCAATCCTCTTACTCCAGCCCAATTTTTGCTTTCTGGCGGAAAAAATGTTAGCTATCCTATATATTTTGTTCAAATTTTCAGCAATCAAACTATTGCAATGGAAAATTCATCAAAAATTATATCAGATTAACTTTTACTTTAACTCTAGATGAAACAGAAAAACAATTATTTGATGCAATTCAGAAATGCATATAATTTTGTAAATCCACCAACAGGAAAGCATGTAGTTTAGCTTGAAGGGACCACTAAATCAGAATTTTTATCGTCACTTGGTATTATCAAAGAGGTTTTTACGGGTCACGATGGATAAATACATTCATGCCTTATTCTAACTGATAAGGGACAATATAAAAGACAAATTCAATTAATTTATCCACTTGAAACAAATTGACTATCTTGTGTATAACAGCTGTAATTAAATACAATGTATTGTCATAATTGTAGTACTATTTGTATTTGTTTTATACTCATTAAGTCATTTATATTGTATTTGATGTCTTGTTTGTATTTCATGCACGTTTAACAGAGTACAGGTATGCTTAAAAGTTTTGCATTTGTGCTGCAATGCATACTTGCACATTCTGGGAAACCACCTCCACAGCTGCAAAACATTACATAAAATTATATTTGTGCTACCATGGAGTTGTAAGAAAACAAAGGAGAATGAAATTTGCTTGATTTGAATTTGTGAATTTTGATGAAAGTTTCACATTTGGTATCAAACTGCTCTCCCAAATGAAAGCTTTTTTTTTTCGGGGGGGCAAGGGGGCACTGTACAATATATTTCAGATTTAAAGATGATCTCTTCAATTGGGAAACCTTTAAAAAACATTTTTCAAAAAGTCACCGATCACTCTTAGAAGTTCCTTATTTACTAAGCTGAAAGAAAAAGAAAATAATGTGTGGCAGCTTCTGGCATAAACTGAGCCACATAATTAAACCTATTCTTTATTTTGTGTAAATTCTGTGATGTTTGTGAATTTTTATTTTATTTTAATGTTTCCTTGTTTCATGCATAGTTATTTTTATTTTCTGTTTTTGTGAAAAGTAAAGCATTTTTAAGAATCTGATATTTTATTTTTATAAGATAAGATAAATTGCGAGCTCTTTGTTCAAATTTCCATAGTTCCACACTGATTTAGGCTTATTTCACAAAAATAATAAAGTAGGTAAAAAGTCAATGGAACTATAACTCTGCATATATATCTTGCACAAATTTGAAATGATTTACCAACCATAAAATACAATGTGAAATAATTTACCAACCATAAAATATAATGTGAAATAATTTACCAACCATAACAAAAAAAAGGAATAAAATCCTCCCCACCTTAAAAATCAAGAACAAGGAGGAAAACATGAGACGCTGTACTTTAAATATTAAGCAAATGAAAATTAAGCACAGTTCTGGCAATCATTTGAATGATATTTTCTGAATATAAATTTCTGGTTACTAGAAGAGAAATATTGAATTACACACCAACTAAGATATCTTATATCTGAAAATTATAATTCTTGAATGATCCAGTAATACACAAGCATCAAAACTTGCATTCATACCACATTAGTAATTATTATATATTAATTACAATTTTTTCCTTCCTCTTGGAAATAATATTGCAAAAATGAATTATAAAACTTACTACTTGTGCCTCTAAAGCTACTTTTGCAAAACCAATTCTTTTGCCCCATATTAAGCGATATTCTTCATCACCAAACTGAGCTTCAAGAACTCCACCAGGTGCAAGGGCAACAAGATGTCCTTCTTTTAAATATTGGACGCATACTTGAAAAGAACCCGTAAATACATGGCACACATCCATTAATAGATTCCAACCTAAATTTGCAAAGAAAAATAAACCGTTACCATCATTAACAATTGCTAAAGAAGACAAACATTTTAAAGAAACTCATCACGTGCATTTTGTTAAAAAGTTGTCAAAATATTTTCTTCGTCTGAAAAAAAAGGTGCTAAAATTTTGACTTGAATGAATCAAATAAATTCTTACAGTTGCTAAAATATCTTACATCTTGCTAAGATGTCTTGCCAATTATATGTGTTTTGAATGGCTTTCCATCATTCCTTTGTATATCCCTCCCAAAAAAAATACATTCATATATTCTTAAAAATAAACTTTTATTTATACTCATTACATCAAAAAATAAAAATTAATAAAGTAGAGTTTCAATAATTCATAATCACTTATTCCATGAGTCCCCTGTATTCTGCCTTCAATTTTGATTATAAAGAAGCAAAGTTCAAATTTTCAGAAAATTCAGCATGACGAATTTAACAGTATTTTTTCTTACATGCATATAAAAACAAACTTTTAAACAAAAATTCACTAGAACCTACTTTGACTGAGGAAGTGAATTTTATTACCAAGTCCGAAATCCAGAATGATCCAAAATCGAAACTTTCAGAAACCACCAGCGGCCTCTTCCCCCTCCCTTTATTTTATGCTTTACACATGCACATTTTTTCAGAATATTTTACATGATGTTTTTTCATAATAATTTGATCTACATACACCTTTCTGCTTGTCATACATCTCAAACCAGACATTCTACATTGAAACATTACTGATTTTACACCTACTGAATAATTTATATCGGTGACACCAGCCAGGCAAATAATTATTTATTATTTTTTGCTTTCATCACTGCATGACTATTAACAAACAGCAGCTTGAGAAATGATTTACACAGTGATACCCAAACAATTATTTTCAAATGTTAATAACTGAACACCATACAGCATGCAACCTTTTACATTAACATTATGCTAGGCAATGATTACAGACTTTGGCTATACCACTGTGAAGTGCTGAGAGTGTTGACAAGGAGACATTTAACAGAAATTTTCATCCATATGCAAAGAATAGATTTTTAAATGATTCTGATAGACCAAAAGATAATTTGATAATGAATTGATAATATTTGATTTGTTTAGATAAACCCATGACAAGCACCACAGGTGATATGGCAAAATTTAGGGGAAGCAAAAACATTAGAATTTAAAGATGCAACATGGAACAAAATTAAGGGATGATAAAATCTTTAAAATTTAAGCAAGGCACTGGGATTCAAATTTTTTATAATTTAAGAAGGCACTTGGCAACAGAATTTAGGACAAGCAGAGACTGTCCTCAATTCGCAATATGTCTAATACCAGCACTGGAAACCTTAAGCATATTTGAGAATTTATTTATTAGGGATTCGGATAAGCTGAGCATGTGCAGGAAATAGGCATGAAAGTAATAAATAACTAAACTAATATAATTCAGGCTTAACTTAGTCCCCATGCAATAGAAGCAAAACATAATTTAGGAACAACATGTCTTTAGTTGATAATCTCATTACACATTGCCATGAATAGTGGACACTATCTAAGCTTTATGACGACAACTGTGAATTTGAAAGTTTTCAGATATCGCAAACAAAAGCCAAAATTTCCAATTAATGGAATTGTGAAGAAGTGGTAATAAATGAAGATGATATAACAGAAGTTTCTTATTACTATGACAATGCCCCAGTCATCAGTCAACTGATGGGTGGTAAAATCTGTAGTATGGTTCTTAATCCAGAAAATATCACTACCAATAATGAAGAAAGTGATAGACAGGTAACTGAGAATGTAAAAATTTCAACGGACAATTTAGTGGCACTTTTGACTGACAATTGACTCAACATGGCAATTACAGGACTTGAAGAATGGAAGTTTGTAACTAGAAAGAAATTATGTCTATGTATAGATTTAAAGTATTAGTATGGGAAAAGGAGGGGAACAAAAAGAGCAACTTTAACAGTTTAAAAGCAAACAAAGAAATATTGAGCTGCTTTTTTTATTATTATTTTATTCACTAAAGGTCATAAATGCTTTATTATTTCTTAAACCACTGTTTCATATTTCTTAATTTTATAATTTCTACATGTCATCTTACTAGATTTATCTAATCTGATAATCTAATACCCAGAAAAATCCCATATCTGGTATTGCTGAAGTTCTGATGGGTGCGGAGCTTAGACATAGCACTGCATTGAAATTATTCAGCATTTTCTCAGCTCACATCAATGATCTCTTTTTATAATAAATATGGAATGTGAATGTCAATAAACTTTTTCCTTTACATAAATACCTATTTCTAGTTGCATACTTTGCTGTTTTTAATAACAATTGGTAAGACCCGCCTAACGCTAGAGGGCACTGAGAGCGCCATTGAGTGTGTGCTGAGACTCGATGGAAGTTACTCGATGGATGATGTGCGATTTCTGAGATTGAGATATTATTATATTTAATTAAATTAATTTATATTTTATTGATCGGTGATTATTGATTTTGATTTATTCATATGAGATGTGATATTATGCTTTGCTGAACCACCACACTTTTGACAAACTTGGATTACCACTGAATCTTAAAACCATCAATGCGCATTTGGTGCATCTACGCCAAAAACCAGGTAAGAGAATCTTTATTGAATTATTGAAACTGAATTATACCTGGATAGAAATTAAATATGGCTGAAAATCTCTCAAAGTTGAAGAAGAAACGCAGTTCCATGCGTTCGATGTAGACGAAATTAATTAACAAAATAGAAGTTGCTATCAACAATGAAAACGAAAAGTTGATCAGTTGGAAGCATTTTTGGAACAATTAATCAGAAAAGAAACTGATTTAAATTCTTTAAATGATGAAATTGAAAATCTTTTGAGCGTCGAGACTATATCTGAAGATATAGAAGCTTCAGAAGAAATAAAAGAAAAAATATTTTTTTGGAAATCAAAACTTCATTCTAAAATAAAGAAATTGAATTTTGATTCTATCCAAGTTTATACAGTTTCACAAAACATTCAGTTGATTAATAATGAAACTGAAAATATAAATATAAAATTGCCTAAATTTCATATTAGTAAATATTATGGTAATTATTCTGGTTGGTTAGATTTTTACAATTTATTTGAAAGCTCTGTTCATAATAATCCTAAATTAAGCAAAGTTGGTAAATTTAATTATTTGAAATCCTATCTCGGTGGTAGCGCGGCAGCATGTATTAGTGGATTTGCTTTAAGTGATGAAAATTATGATAAAGCACTTGATTTATTGAAAGAAAGGTTCGGAAATAAAAACATTTTGATTTAACACTTATTTGAGAGTTTTGCTGAATTTGACTCCTGTTAAAAATCCTAACGATGTAAGTTTACGAAATTTATATGATAACGTGGAAACGCAGATCAGAAGCTTAGATTCTTTAGGAATTACAGGTGAATCTATGCAAATCTATTGACACCAATTTTAATGAAATTAATTCCTTCAGAATTCGTTTTAGAATTTAATCGCATTCAAGGCGACAAAGAATTTGACTTAAAAACTCTTTTGTGATTCATTAATAAAGAAATTCGAAGCCGCGAGAGATCCTTTCCAATAAATAATTATAAATCATCGAATCAACGAGTGCACTTATGTTCCTCGCAAGAGAAAATAAAAAATAAAAATTCTACTTGCCGTTAGACATAACTCTTCAAGACCTTTCCGCATAAGAGGGAGAATTCTTTCCCCTCCCCACACACACGCATGAATTCCTGGCGTCAGTCGAAAATGTAATGTGTCTATTTTGTAGCAAAGGTCATAAATCAGAATCGTGCTCTATCATTTAATGCAAATGAACGGAGAGATATATTGAAGCAATGAGATCAATGTTTTCGTTTGTTTGACTCCAAACCATCGAGTGAAAGAATGTTTGAAAAAGGAACTGTGTCCTAACTGCAGTAAACCTCACCATGTTTCAATTTGTTTCGAAATCAAAATAATCTACACGTTATTTCTCCAAAAGGAGAAACCGATAATGTCGTATCGGCGAATGTCGTGTCGGCACAAAATAATACTATGTTACAAACATGTTCAGCCTTAATTGAATAATGGAAAAGAGCAGGAAATTGTTAGAATTTTCCTGGACAATGGTTCACACTGCTCCTTTGTTTTATCAGCTATTTCCAAAAGATTTAACTTTCCAGTTGTTCGAAAGGAAAGCCTTTCCATTTGCACATTTGGTGCTAAGGAAACGGAAACAAAATCATTTAATGTAATTAAACTTAAATTAAAGAATAGAGATGATCCAAATTTATGCATAGAAATTGAAGCACTGGAGACAGAACATATTTCAGGTACACATTTACCGACTCCGGATAAAAATACTGAAAAACAATTTAGACGTTTAAAAAATGTACAACTAGCGGACTGTTATGAATTTAACAATAAAGAAATATCAATACTGATAGGTGCAGATTATTATTATGATATTGTCACTGGTCGAATTACACGCCTAAGCAAAAGCCCCGTTGCAGTTGAAACAATACTTGGGTGGTGTTTGCATGGCCGAAATACGAACTTAAATGAAACGTTTGCAATGAGTGTTATGGTAAACGAATCCAATATTTCTGATCAACTCAAGGAATTTTGGGATTTAGAGAATTTGGGTATCGAGGCAGAAGTAGCTAAAATAGAACCCACTGAGAAAGAAATAATGAGTGAATTTGAATCCGGAATTACATATCAAAGCGATACAAAGTGAAACTGCCCTGGAAACCAAATATGAAGACATTATTAGAAAATAATGAGCAGGTAGCAATGGAAAGATTTTTGAGATTGAAATCATCTTTTAAAAATGACCCGTCCTTATTTTGTGAATAAAACACTGTTCTAAAGAATAATCTTTTGGAGAATATTATTGAACCTGTTCCAGTTAATGAAGTAAATTTATGCCAAAATACATTTTATCATGCCAAAATACATTTTATCTACCTCATCGAGTTGTAATACGTACGGATAAGACTACAAGCAAATTACGCATTGTTTTGATGCTTCTGCGCATGCAAAAGATCAATTATCTTTGAACAATTGCTTATACACAGGACTTAATTTTATGCCTAACCTATTTCTTCTTTTGATCAGATTTAGAACGATCCAATAGCATTTGTTGCAGATATTAAGATGGCCTTTCTCCAGATTGAAATAGATGAAAATGAATGAAACTACACCAGATTCTTCTGGGAAGAAGATCAAGAAACTGATGATGAAAACAAGAAATTGGAAATTTTTGAGATGACAAGGGTGTTATTTGGGGTGAGATCTAGCCCATTCCTCCTTGCAGCCACAATCAAACATCACTTGAAAAGGTACGTAGGATAAATGTTTCAGTTACTCATTTACGTGCAAATGTTCTAAATTAAATGTAGAAATTTGAAAATATAAACAAAATTCAGAAAGACTTGCCTATTACCTGCAAAATTCACTAATTTGCCCAATCACTAGCTCCGAGGTGTGCAGTTTACCAAGATTCTACTGTATATATATTGCAAATATAATTATCACTAATATTTCAAGAATAACTTTCCCTAATCATGTTGCTTTTCTGCAATACACATAAAACTTATAACAAACCTCATATTCACAAATTAAGAAACTTTATTTTTTAAATGTTCCTGTAGGATATTTTGCAATGTTCTCGAGTAAGCTTAAATACCAGAAGCTTTATTTCTAAAGTTCTGGCTCGGATTTCTAACATTCATTGAGATCATAATCTATTGGGATACACTGCATGAACAGCTTTTCTAATTCATTGCAAACATTCTTTGATTACTGCTTAGCGAATAATGAATTGCTTCAGTGATCCTGACATAAAGCTCATTCTAAGAAATATAATTATGTTGAGTAGATAAATTTTGACATGACCTATAAAAGACAGTTCAGTGAAGTCTGATCAAATAAAAGTGAAATTCATGATTAATAGCAACTTGCATTACTTCTGGTACTACATTGCTCTAAAAATCATTCAATATGATGAGGCCCTTGATGGTAATGTAAGGCTGATTTACAAGGAAGCTGTTGTAAAAGTCCAGCACTCCAAAACATAGAGAAAACTTTTGTTTTTGATACTTTCTAGTTTTCATGGCACTTATGCATAAAATAAGCATGCAAACTTGATGTCCATTTTTCAAATATATCTGAAAAAGGTTCATAATTAAAAAATGTTCTGTTAAAGTAATAACTTTTTAGATAACAATATTTAATATATTGTTGAATTCTCTTTGCTAAGTAAGCTACTGAAAATACTTTTACCTCACAAAATTAAAAATTACTTTGTATAGAATATGCACTAGTTACATGGAGCAGTTTTTATTGCAATAGGTATGTTATGTATTTGATTAGGAATATTAAGAGAGAAATGTGATAATAATATTAAAACACAAAAAACACAAAATAGAAGTTTACATGCCTTGAAAATTAATTTTTATCTATTTATGATAAAAACTGACAAAAATAAATGCTGTGGTTAATAAAAAGAGATATTTGAAAACTAATATGTATAATAGCATAAATGAAAAAAATATATAATTTAAAAAAAGAGAGAGACCAAACCTGGTATTTTGAAAAGAAAATGATCTCCCACAGATCTTATACATCTTTTTTTAATCAGGATAGTCTTAGCTAATATGTAATAATAGTCGATAGGAATGGCTCCATGGTAGAAAATAAGTAATGCACCACCTTCTTTAGAATCTGGAATGTTTTCTATACCAACCATTTCATAGCCTGAAAAATATAATTTTTATGTACTAAAAATACTGATCACTTCTAGAAATGATCATGTTTGGGAACATGATTGTCATGAGAGGTTTTAATGTATTTATACATAATAATAATAATAATAATCCCAATAAACACATAAGCATTAAATATACATATGAGTTCTTTCTGAAATGAAAATATATATATATATACTCTTTAAGGAATTTTATGAGAATTTGTAAGATGAACAACTTTCCTTTAAGACTGCAGAGAGATGATAGAATACACAATTCTATAAATATGGCAAAATTCATATAATTTTTACAACAAAAGTTTTACATAAAATGCTGAAATGAATAATAAATATATAATCAATTCAGTCACTTTATATATATATATATATATATAATGTTGTATGATCTTAAATTCACTTAGTTCGAAAACAAGTTTTTCTAAGTCAACTAATTTTCGATCAATAGCAATAATTACTTGCTTTTAATTTAATTCTTTTTCAAAGTTTGAAATTTTGTTATTCATGATTGAATTCAAGTCCCCGTAAAACATTTTTAATAATTTACATTCAAGTTACTTTAAAACACAATTTTCGGAATTAAACTTCCTACATATGGGTTCACTCTTATTTGATACATCTACTAAATTTATATTAGGAGATAATATAATCAATATTTCTTTAGTATATATATATATATATATATATATATATATAATGTTGTATGATCTTAAATTTATTTAGTGCAAAAACAAGTTTGCTTTTCACTCAAAATTGAATTACCTAAAATGCTTAATAGGAATGAGTTCTTTGGATATCAGCATTAGTTCTTAATCCCGTCTATTCACGGAAATATTTGGCCTGACTTGAATTGCCGGTTTGGCTTAGCCTTATTGCCCGAGTAAAGAACTAGACACCTTCGTATTTATTCCTTAATTATTGTTCATTGAACGGGAGTTGGTTTGTTCCCCTTGAAAAGTCAACAAATTTCCGATTTCCGATCAATAACAATGATTACATGCATTTAATTTAATTCTTGCCTTTAATTTATTCCTTTTACAATTGAAATTTTGTTATTCATGATTTAATTCCAGTCCCCGTTAAACATTTTTAACAATTTACATTCAAGTTACTTCAAAACATTCTTTCAAAATTTCAAAATAGTTCTTTCAAAATAGAACTTACTAAGTATGGATTCACTCTTTTAAGATAGTTCTACTACAATTCAACTTAGGAGATAATATAATCAATATTATTTAGTAAATAATATATATATATACACTGCTCGACAATGAAAATGCAACACCAAGAAAGAATGGTCAGAAATTTATGCAAATTTTAGAGTAGATGCACGTCACCGAGTTGTGCAAATGATGTGAAATGCGCAGCTCTCCGATGCACGTAAAGTAAGATATAAGGGAAGGAATGTGCAGAATGGGCAATATTCGTGTCGTTATTTCTGCCAGACAATTATCGAAGAAAGTTGGGTTTTGTCCCGGAGGATACGTGTAATAGGAGAGAATGCCAGGCCACCGTCAACGAAGGCACTTCCAGCAGATAGATGATTTTACGAGGGGTATGGTAATCGGACTGAGAAGGGCGGGTTGGTCCTTACGTCAAATCGCAGCTGATACCCACATGGATGCGAGCATGGTGCATCGGCTATGGCGAACAAGGAAATGTGGGAAGAAGGAGAGGTGCAGGTGCAGCCAGAGTGATGTCAGCATGTGTGGATCGATGCATCCGCAGACAAGCTGTGGCGGCCACAGGTCACTTGTACCGCAATTCTGCAGCAAGTGCAAAGATATCCTGGATGTTCCTGTGTCGAACAGAACCATTTCCCGTCGATAGATTGAATGTGGCCTGCACTCAAGGCGTCCGTTAAGAAGACTGCCATTGACCCCACAGCATAGACACCAACATTTAGAATGGTGCCGGACTGCAGCGATATGGATGACAGAATGGCGAGATGTCGTATTCTCAGATGAGTCACGCTTCTATTTATCCAATGACAGCCGCCGCATACGTGTGTGGCGTGGACATGGAAACAGATCTAATCCGGCAGTAACTGTGGAACACCCCACCGCGCGACAAGGTGGCATAATGGTTTGGGGTGCTATTGCCTACGATTTCAGGTCACCTCTAGTTCGTATTCAAGGCACTATGACGGCCCAACAATACTTGGATAATGTACTGCGGCCGGTGGCAATCCCCTACCTTCAGGGGCTGCCTAATGCAATTTTTCAGCAGGATAACACCCGACCACACTGACTCGCATCTGCCAACATGCTCTGCAAGGTATACAGATGCTTCCTTAGCGACCGTACTCTCCTGATCTGTCACCAATCGAACATGTGTGGGATGTGATTGGATGCTGTTTGCAGACTCTGCCCCTGCCTCGTTCAGAAGACAAACTGTGGCAAATGATTGTAAGGGACAGAAGAGCCATCCCTCAGGACACCATCCACACTATTATTGACTCTATGCCTAGACATGTTTCTTCGTGCATTGCTGTCTGCGGTGGTCCTACATCCTACTGAGCTAATGCCGTTCTCGCTCTGTATTCTGACTATCATTTTGAAATAAAGATCATTTATTGCTGCTTGCTGTCTCTTTCTTTTTTCCAAATTTCATCACTTCCTGACCACTCTTTCTTGGTGCTGCATTTTCAATGTTGAGCAGTGTATATATAAATGAAAACTTGCTTTCAAATAAATTAAGACCCAAATAATACACTGAAAACATATATCTCAATATTAAGCATTCAAATAAAATACTAATTACCATGCCACAGCCAACCAAGAGCATCCCATGCTGTAGCTAACGTGTTTCTGGCACCATCCCATACATCTCGGTTGTATGCTTCACGCAATCGATACCGATACCGATACGCACGTACAAACAGAGCAGACAGAAAGAAAAATATGAATAAGATAAAAGGGAACACAAAAGCAACCTGCAAAGAAAATTGTTTCACTCTAAGTATAAAAATTTTTAAATTTCTATACATATTTGAATAAATTAAGAATAGAAAATTAATAACAAAATTAACAAAACACATAAATTTACCAATACAGTTTAAAAAATTTATATTACACATGTTAAACAAAACTTCAGAACATGTTTCTAAAAAAGTAATTTTTAATTTATAGTACATTAATCTTTTCTGTTACATCAAACTTTAAATCATGCTTCTGTAATGCATTGCTGAATAAATAATATCATTGTATCTTATGACAATAGCACCTTTACGAGCCAGTTTCCCTTGTCAGATTAGGTTAACTGAATATATCAAAGCTCATTAGTATCTGATCTGGGTAGAGAAGGGAATTCATGTTACACATGGGGAAAATCACAAAAACCAACCATGCTGTTAGTCCATTCACCTGGGATTGAACTCCCAGTAATCAGCGGTCTATCTCTAAAGATTTTTAAAAAAACAATTGCTTATCATCAAATAATCATATATTGTATCAAAGATATGATAAAAACAAGAATATCATATAAATTTAATTAAAAATTATGTCTAATATTAGCTGTAGTTTAGTGGCAAACTACAGTTGAACTCGCTTATAACGACTGCAAAGGGACCAACCATAATATTTGTTCATTTTATCCAAGTGCTTGTAAAAAAACGGATTCATGAAAAAACCATACATATTTATTATATTACATATATTTACTTTATTTATTTCTGTACAATGCAAAGATGTTGGTTGATTTGTTTTGAAAAATTTTATTGTCTCTTTCTTGTGCTATTGTCCTTTGGAGAACACTCATGGTGGGGAAAAACATAATCATTTGCACCCCTGGCTTCGAAAAAATTTCTCTGCACACGCAAAAGCCATTGAGTATGCTGGAGATGGTTCAGTTTGAAATTCTTTACAGCATCGTCATTATCATCGCTTTCATTATTTTTTATCTGCTTTAGCCTGAACTTCACTACAATATCCTCAGGATCAAGAATCTCGGAAGTGATAACATTGGTGGCAACAGATACATAATTTTCAAATTCTTCTCTACTCATTTCCAAATTTTCTGAGTCGTCTCACTCAGGAACTTGCTCCTCTTGAGGAATGTCCAATAGAGCCTTATAGAAGCAATTTATAAAGCATATCGATGTAACATTTCCCCATGCATCATCATTAAATGTATTGCTTCAAGTATGTTTACAGTTTCATTGCTTCAGGTATGTTTACTGTTTTATTACAAAGTTTCATTTAAAACTTCTGTTCACTCCTTAGTAAAAAGGCTTTATAAAACTTGTAGAACTCAGGGATAAAAATTCAATCCTTTTGTTTATAAGTCCAGTGATTTTGGCATGTATTTTACAATTATAAGTTATAAGGAGAATTTTATGCTTTTCTTTCCTCAGCTGTCTCTCTCATTTTGAAATTAATTCTGTGAAAATGTTCAAAGTCATCCAGACTTTCCTGCTACGATCATAATTAAGAGGACGCTTTTTTATATGTTTTAAAACACCTAGGGTTTTTGAACTTGCCAATAACCAACAGTTTCCTCTTGTCAGTGCGGCCGAGCGGTAAAGACGCTGAACACTGGTAGTTCAGTCCGAGGTTCGAATCCCGCGAACGGGCTGGCTGCATGGGCGTTTTCGTGGTTTTCCCCATGTGTAACGTGTATACAAGCCAGTTTCCCTTAGAAAGTCCTCCACGAAGGCATCCCTCCCTTTAGGCAGATAGCCCTTGTGATCTTTGCCATAATTGAATAACCCATAACCCACAACCCTCTTGTGAGTGCCAGACAAATTAGAACACACTAAAGCTGTCAATGGATTTTTGGAGAACTAACCTATGATGCCCTTTTCACCCTTGAACTTAAAAGTCTACTGTGAGGATACATTGTAGAAAATGCCTGTTTCATCAGAATTATAAATGACACCTTTTGCATATCCTTCTCTGATGACTCGTCACTTTTCAATCATCCATGTCGCAATATCCACCATGTTTGCAGACTTTGCTTCACCACAAATTTTTCCAAAGATTATCCCATGTCTATTCTTGAATCAATCAAGCCAGTCATTCGAACAACGAAATCCAGAATACCTAAACTATTCAGCAAAGAGAGGTGGAAGACAATTTTATGAATCACAAAAATATTGCTCATTATAACCGGGTTTGCACTTTAAGCTCCCATAGACTTAACATTACACTAATCAAGTACAGTAGAAGTCCAGAAATCCGCAACGCTTGGGACCAGAGGTTGTGCGGATTTTAGAATTCTGCGGATTTAAGGACAGAAAAGATAATATTTAGACTAAAAGTGCAAAATAAATAAGGCATATTAGATACATTTAATTAAATTATTATATACATTAATACAATAATTAATTATATGCATTAAATTATTATTACATATACCGAGCGTTCAAAAAGTCTTTATACACCTGAATTGTGGCAAGTCAAAGTCGCATTCAAAGTCACATGAAATAAAATTTTATGCGAAGGTTTGCAACATTGCTACATTATCGCCTTGCGTGAAGTTCCATTCTTAGATTCCAGTCGGCAAAGTGACGTTGAAGTGATTGTTAGTGGTCTCTGAAACAACTTTGGAACAACGAATATTCCTGGTTGAACATGTGTTCTGTGAACACGATGAGTACAAACAGACAATCAAAGATAAGTTTGCAGCTAGGTTTCCGGATACACCTGTTTCGAATTGTCACACTGTAAGGGCACTGATCGATAAATTTAGAGACATTGGAACGGTAATGGATTATGATCGAAGTGGTAAACCGTCAGTGCTCGATGAAGAAAAAATGCTACGCATATCGGATGCAATTCAATGTAGCCCCCATAAACCACTTCGAAAACTTGCCCAGGAAGAAACAATAAGTGTTGGTATGGCACAAAAGGTGATTCGTAAGAAACTGCGTCTTATCCCATATAAGATGAGAACGGTGCAGCAGTTACTTCCTCCCGACAGTGCAAAACGAATGCGGTATTGTGAATGGTTCACACAGTTTCTTATGGACAAGTCTGATGATTTTTTTTTTTTTTTTTTTTTTTTTTTTTACTGATGAGGCCTGGTTCCTTTTATCAGGTTACATCAATGCCCAAAACTTACGTTTGTGGTACGCAGAAAATCCACATGCCATACATGAAGTTCCTCTGCATGACCAGAAGGTAGGGGTGTGGATTGCAATATCCAGAAGAAGAATAGTCGGCCCCATATTTTTCCGACAAACAATAGATTCAACTCATTATTGTGAAACTATTCACCAGTTCATGGAAGAACTAGCGGAAGACGAAATTCGTAATGCTTGGATACAACAAGATGGCGCTACAGCATATATAGCTCACCAATCCCTGAAATTACTGCAAGAGGTTTTTGGAGAGTGAATAATTTCAAAGGGATTGTGGCCACCTCGGTCTCCTGACTTGTCTCCTCTGGATTTTTACTTCTGGGGTTATGCAAAGAGTTCTGTTTATGAAGGGAATCCTATGTGTGAAAGCATGTTTGGAGGCTCATGGGGAATATTTCCAACATTTGCTGTGAAAATGTGTGTTTATATGCTACACCCTGTGCATAGTACTTTTATGCCATGAAACAAAGTAAATTTAATGAGACGAAATTACAACTGTAAAGTCTTAACATCATGTAGGGATGCCATAAAATATAATAAATTTTGAGTAAAATAATTTTCTCGTTGCTTTGAATATGTGACGATTCAAGTGTACAGAGACTTTTTGAATGCACAGTATAAACTGATTATATTATATCATTCATTTACATTAGGCTACTCAATTTTTAAATCAGCATGAATCTGCTTCCCCTTTTCTCTCAGGAGTACAGGTTAGGCTTGGTGCAGGCCTGAAATAGATATCCCATCACTCCGCTGCTGCCAGAACCACTCGTACAAAACCTCGTATTTGCCGATTTCACCTCATGTAAAGATTTCTGGTTTTGGATTCCGATGTTAGAATCACTGTTGATGTAAAATTTCAACAGCTTTTCTTTATTGTTCCGTATATCATACACAGTCTCTGTGGCAATTCCACACGATTCTGCTATAAACTGAGCAGCAGCACCTGCCTCCCTCTTTAGCAGAATTTCCACTTCTTTCTAAATATAAATATGTACCGTCAATGCAATGCGTTTATCTTTTTCAACGTTGCAAGCAGTAAAATCACGAGTGCGTTTCTTATCTGCCATTGTATTAAAAAGCGCTGAAATTTAAAATATTCTTAATATATCCATAAAATATCCAGATTAAAAAAACGACATTAATAAACAATCTCGTGAAATAACAAAGCTCAGAAAGTACAACAACATAAAGCGTGAACCTGAAAGAAGAGTTGAGTGAATCGTCTGCTTTTTTACCTCGATGCAGATTGGAGGGGAAAAACTCTTATCATGATGTTAATAATTTGGCATTTCCATTATGACTCATTATTATTTGGTAATTATGACATCATATAAGTGAATTATATTGTATAAATAAAATAGGATTTTGAAAATAATAAATCATTCACCTGCAAATAACAAGCAAATTATAAAGAAATATGTACTCCACTTAAATATAAAGAAAGCTTATTCTGCAAATGTTAAATTTCTTAAGAGATATCAAATATAAATATGTATTATGTAGCAATTAGCATAAGACATAATACATAATTAGCATAAGATAAGTAAGTTTTTCTAATAACAAAATTTATATACCACAATAGGAGTGAATAGCCATATTAGCCAGGATACAAAATGGATATCTATGTATTGCTCAAGATATGCCAAGTGTAAAGATGAATAAGTATAGTTTCCAATTTTCTCAACTAAATCATATATGAAGTTCAGCATGGCAGGGCGATCCTTTCTCATATGGACAACCAGAAAACTGTTTAAGTTTTTTCTTGTTCTCACTAATGAAAATCATCTAAATCTATAAGAAAAAGTAAAACAATAAAAAGATATAGAATAAATATCGCTTACTCAAAAATCTAGAAAATCATATAAAAAATGAATTAATAAGCATTAAGTTGCTTTGACAAAAACTACATCCAACTTATTTCTATATTTTATAATTAATTTTCTAAGAGCGAATATTTTTTTTTAGATTTGTTCACAAGTTCAATAGTTACATAGCAGCATTTATATAATTATCCACTTTAAGCAAAATGTAAACAATTATACAAAGTTAATATTTTATTTTCTCTCAAAATCACTGCACAGATTTTTTAAATCTTTAGAATAAAGAAAAAAAATATTTTAAAAACAAAATAATATGTACAAAACTGCAAAAAAAAAAAAAAAAAAAAAAAAACTCATGATTAAAAAAAAAGGCTATACTTTTTTATTATCCACACAGCCCACTGAAAAGTCACAAACTTGTTACCAAATTTTGAAAGCATTTGCAAAACTCGCTGATGACAAACTTCTCGCCAAACTAATATGAGAAAGGCAACAGAAACCTTCAAAATGGTGGCACACTACAAATTCCATACAAGAACTTTCAATCAATAAAATTAAAATAGCAAGAAATATCAGTAATATTTTTGATAAATCCTTCTTTTTTGTGTAATTGTTCTATGTAACTACTTTGGTAATGTATTGCTTAACTTCATGAATACGTTTTGGGACATTTTTGAGTACGGATAATCAGAAAGCAAAAAAAAAAAAAAAAAAAAAGTTACACAACTCATATCCCTAAAGCTTAGTATACATTACATCCAAATGCTTTGCTTATATATTTATATACTACCACTGAAATAATAATAGCTGTCTTCAATAACATATAATGCATTAGTAACTTTATACTCTGTGTATAAAAGGAAAAGCGAGTGTGCAAAGTTTTGCTTATAAGCAAAGCTCTACATTTTTTAATATAAGCAAGAGCAAAATAGTAAAAATTTTGATTTAATAAAAGATTTTAAAAAAACACAATAATTATGTATTGTACGGTATCTGACAACATATATTAAGTTTTAAAAAACATTCATAATATACAAAACCTGGACGCAAATAAATACTGATTATTTCGGTGCTATTCGGTTTTGAGGGTCGTAAAAAATCGCCAAACTATTGTTGATACCAGTGCTGCCAAAATTAATTGTGGCAACCCTAATCCAAGAAAGGATGTACAGTACAAAGTCTGTAATCTGGACTCATCGGGACTTAAGCAATTCCGGATTAGGGGTTTTTCCGGATTATAGATCATCAATTTAAATCTGGTAAGATGGCATGCAAAAATTATACATTTAAAAATATGAAATCGCAATTTATGAAATAAAGAGCAATTATGATCTAAAGAGTATCAAAATTAAAAAAAAAAAAAAAAAAGCTTAATATTTATTTGTTTACTTTATTAAACATTTCTTTCAATGTTGGACGTTGGTTTAATTGCTCGTTGTTTCGTATCCTGCGTGTTTTGAAATGGCCTATATTGCAATAATAGACGCGGTGGCAAGATTTCAGTCGCGTATTTTAGATTTTAGATTGTGTGGAAAGTAAATTTAGTATTAAAAGGTACGATGTTGGAATTGTTAATGAGTCTTTTGTTCACGGATGTGTTTATGAAAATTGAAGTGTATTTTTGGAATTTCTGTGGGACTTTTAAAACAGTGTTCGAAATACGGAGCTGCTATGAGAACTCGGACGAAGAAGGGCATTTCTGATAGTTCTTGTGTGGATTTGCAGTCAAATGGTTGTTCATAAAGTATGTGGCTGTCAGCGGAGTTTAAGATTTGTATTGTGGTTTTCATTAAGTATGTTAACTTTGGAGGAAGTTTTTATTGTTACTTTCGAAATTTTGAATCTCAGGAAGACATGTGATATAGCAAATTCGTGCCACTTTTGTTCAGAGACATTGTGTGACTGGTGAATTTTATTCAGGAATGTATTATGGTAAGTGCATTTTATTTTACTGTTTTTATTTTTTAGAATGTTACATTAATTGTTTTTTAAGTATGAATTTCTGTTGTTATTGTTGTGTTTTGAATTGTTTGTAATTTAGTTTAGTTTATTTGGTTGATTTGTGTGCAATGCCTAGATTGTGAAATTCGTAGATTTTTTTTAAAGTTTTAACAGCTGTGTATATGGTATTCTTTGAAATTTATTGTTGTTATGTTAATTTATTGAAGCGAGGTGTGCGTAGTTCGTAGATTCCTTCACTGCCTAGAATGTGCAATTCATAGATGTTTTTTCAAGTTAAAATATATCGCTGTGTACATGAATTCTTGACAAATATTTTTGGTTAGAAACTTTACGTTTTTTGCTATCTAAATTTTCTGTTTTTGTTTCGGATTTTTAGCTTAAATTGTGTATTCAAAATGTAGTTTTTGCATGAGCGAAAACCACATTTTTGGAGACATTTTAGGCTTAAAATTCAAAATATACACAGAAAAATTTAGGTAGTAATATGGCGGTGTGGAGTTTCTAGCCAAAAATGTTTGGCGAGAAATTTGGCGACCTAATGGCGCATATAAGAGTAGTTCCCTTTCTTCTAAACTGTCTAAAGGTCTTAATGCAAATTCTTACCCATAGTTAACACAATTGACAAAAATGAACACGAAGCACCTTACAGAAAAAGTTACCATAATGCTTAACAACATACAATTTATAGAAGTCTGGTGCTGCTTATTCCATGTCTGGAGAAAAAAACAAATTTGAAAAAATTAACTGTTTTCTCTACTCAAACAACATAATTTTTTAAGGAAACAACTACACATCTGATAAATTTTGAATTAATAGTAACTGAGGAAAAAGATAGACCACTTTTTTCTGTACATGTAAATGAGATCCAGGGCTGGAGCGAGAGCTGGTGCAGCCTTGCAAAATCTTAAGAATTTAAAAAAGTACAAAAAAAAAAAAAAAAATATTAGGAATAGCAAAATTTTTAGAATTAAGGGAAGGTACATGGCAGCAATACTTTTAGAATTTAGGGAGAGACTGGGGAGCAGAATTTAGGATACTGTTCTGTTACTGGGACCAGATTCAGAAGTGTATCAATGAATGCATATGTGTATGTATTATGTGCATATAAGTGTATACACATACATATATTTATGCTTACATATATACATGCATACATAAATACATTTCTGAATTCGTTCTTGAAAACAGAACAGCACCGAATTTAGCACCCAAAATTGCATCAGGCAGCAAACTGTTTAGCAATCCCTGTCCTGATGACGTTACTAATGTGTTGAACCTTTTGAGATCAAGAGTCCATTTTTGTTTTAAATTCCTTATTTATGAAATTATATATTAATTCACTATAAAATAATAATAAGCTTAGTGTTTTACTAGAAGACAGAACTTTTCAAAAATGCTTAAGGTTTTAGTATAGGCCTGTATCTCATCAATAGTTAATAAATTTATCAATTTACTCGTTTTTTCATTTTGAAATAACTGAAATTAAAAAAAAATAAGTTGCATTAATAACATTATGTTTTGTTTTAAAATATGCATTATCAGCGTGTTTATTTCAAATAAAGGCTAATCTTTGGAATATGGTAACAGGTAGTTCGGCAACATTTTGGTAAGGTGATAAAGGTTACTAGCTAGTACTTTAGCAGTAGGTTTAATCCTATTATCCGGTGCACACGGGATTTGGCTACTTTTGGCAACTTTATGATGAGCAGTAAAAACGGGACATATACGATGAGTAGTTAACGGGTCATTCAAAGAAAATATACAGTTAAACATAGTATATGCTATGTATATAGTATATATACTATGTGTGTATATACATATACTATGTGTGTATAGAATATATATATAGATGTTATTTGGATCATTTTTGGTGTTGGCGATAATTTTCAAAGTCGCGCCAAGGCTGCCGTATACTAGGATTTTACCTAGCAGTAATCTGAGAAGTACACGGTTCCAATCACAGATTATTTTATCTCAGAGAAATGAGAGATCATGAGACAGTCATGTGACATTTATGGATGAATCAGAGTTCTTTAATCCAAAAAGAAGGGAAATTTGCAAAAATATCTGCAGTACTTCATACCATTTTGTATGTTCAGCTTCATTCCATCTTGTATCTTGTGTGAAACGGTGTTGCTTAATATTTGGCCAAAAAAAACTAGCAAGTTGCTGTAGCAGGGTTGGTCGCCAAATTTTCGCCAAAAAATCGCTAAGTTACCATAATCAAAGATTCACCGAAATAAATAATAAAACAATTAGGCTTTGTTTCAGTATATGTTCCTTATGAAATTCATTGCAGTCTATTAATTTTATGGTATAGAATAGTAAGATATAAGGCAGGAATACTATAAGCGGGTGATGGAAGGGGATATAGTTCTGAACACAGCTTTTTTAGTGTTCAAAACTATAAAGTCTGATATTTTAAAAAGTTGATTTGCAAACCATAAATCTGGAATATAATCAAACTTCTAAATCTACTGTTATATTTCTTATCTCATTGAGTGATTGTGTATAATTAGAAAACAGTATTAAAATATTGGGGAAAGTGCAGAATCGCCCACTGCTTGGGGCGTTTTTAAGAATTGCACATACTTGGTATCCATGTACACATTGACCTATTTTCACTTAAAGAACATCCCAGAATTGCACAAAAATGTCATTGGGCACTCCCTTGACTTTATCCATGTACACATTGACCTATTTTCACTTAAAAAGGTCAAAGAAAATTGACAAAAATCCAATTCTTTTTACTCTTGTAAAAAGCGCCAAACAAACAGCAATCAAATAAGTGGGCGATTCTGCACTTTAGCCAAAATATTTACTGCACTGTTTAGTAATTTTTCTCTACTGGTTTCATTATTTTCACTGAAGGCTTGTAAAATGCAAATTTGCATTTTCTTTCAATCCCCCCCCCCATTTAATAAATGCAGAGTTTCTTTCTTTGACATTTCAGCTCAGAAAGAAAACAGTTTTGCACTGTTTTCTTTTAAGCATCACTTCCAGGACTGGAGGCAGAGTTCGTGTAACTGGTGCACTGACATCAGAGAAGCAGAATTTAGCAGCTTAAAAATAGAACTCAGGAAGGTACCTTCCACATATATCTTTGTTAAGAAATAAATATCTACAGTAACTGCACAGATAAATTATACTTTGGCACACCTGCATATGCTTTTCTTGAGGAGTTTATGAAATACTTCTGCTTTCTTCACTTTTATAAGTTTAATTTACTAAAAGCTTTATAGTAAATTCATACACAGCCTTTACAACAAGGAGAGGAAATTCTAAAAATCTGAACAATTGTTAGGGGTATTGTTAGGGTAGACTGAATATCATACATATATACATGGAATGTAAACGAATAACCATTTATTCTAAAGTTAGAAGATGAGTACTCACTTTGATAGCTTTCAAATTACAATAGTAAATAAAGGACTTGCTAAACCGAGCATCAGCAATGATCCAAATTTGCAGTACAAGTTATCTATTTTCAACCTATGAAAGTTCAAAAATTAAAACCATACTCTTTAAATACAAAATGCATTCTCAATCTTTCTTTTACATGATTTGAAACCACATTCATATTTTTTATTTTACCCAAATTCATACCGAAAACATAATTATTTTGCAGGACGTATATTAAGATCACACAAAAATAACACTAATTTTTACGAAAATAACGATTTCTTTAAAAGCCGAAAAAAAGTTTATATATGTTCAAAGTAAGAAGTACATACAAATTTGCTCCCAGTTAGAACTTTAAATTCTTATATTCTTTTCAAAACAGGAAAAACAAACACTTATTACATACAGTTACGCAATACAATGACAAACAGTCATGTTTTGCAGTCGGTCAATCCTTCTGCTCGCCAAGTGCTTGATCAAGGATCAACGTAGTTCATTTATGGAGAGCATTAGGCTAGGCCTTTAACTCTACATCATCAAAGATACAATAATTACATCAGAAGAGGGGTTCATCTAATACGGGAAAAATTTTGAAGCCTAAAATAAAATAATTGGATTGGATTATTTAATTATGGCAAAGCACACGAGGGCTATCTGCCTAAAGGAAGAGATGCCTTCGTGGAGGACTTTCTAAGGGAAACTGGCTCGTATACAAGTTAGACAGGGGGAAAACCACAAAAACGCTTATGCAGCCAGCCCGTTTGCGGGATTCAAACCTCGGACCGAACTACCAGTGTTCAGCTTCTTTATCGCTCGGCCGCTGGTGTGCCTAAAATAAAATAAATAAAAGCTTTTCAGATAATGCCTTCCGCATTTTAAAGAAAGGTAAGAACTCAAGAAGGTCTTTTTATTTCGTGTCTAGATAGGGCCAGAAATCAATTTTGATAGGAGCAGTCATCATTCATAAATTTAGAAGAGAAATAATAGGTGCAAAAGACTTCCTTGATTCTTGATATCAACAATAAATAAAAATATCTTAAGTCACAAAGCAGACCGAAAGATATCTATTTCCTTCGCAACACGTTTCTTACGCATTTCGTTTACAAACACGGCTTCGATTTTTTTATCACCCTTTATTATACTTTTAACTCTAATGTTATTAAAAATAATCAAAGACTAAGATAAATCTAATTGCAGTATGGAATGTGTCGAATCAAATCAAATTCATATGGTAGAGAGGATATAACGCTTCAACAGGTAACTAATAAAAATATTGCATTTTATTGGAAATAATTTTATGTTCCTGCACAGATTGCAGATGAGATTCTATTAATTCTCTCTCTTTAATAAAATTTTTTACGCTACATTTCTAAGATAACAAATTATTTATGTTCATTTCTAGCTCTTTTCAACTCTTTGAATGCGCACTTTCGGTGATTTAAATGCCCATTTTCGGTTTTTGCATCTTTATGAAATCTTTAATATCTCGGTTTGTAATTAACGTAGAAACAAAAGCAGACCAGTTTTGGAAAGCTAAATAAACAATCTATCCAATGAACGAATAAAACTACAAAAATTGGCCTTTTCAACGTGTTCGGATACCTTAATTGATTCTTAAATGCTTCTCTTCACCCATTAAACGGGTTGTATTTCTTCCCCCCCAAGGGGTCGATTGCTATCAGTTCTTTAAATGTCGCATTAATTAGCGGCCAAAATCTCCCCCCTCCTCTCAGCTGGTTCTTCTGAGTTGCTAAGACTCGACTAACGGGTCCTCCCCTTTTTTCGCCCAGCTACCCCGAGTGGGTGCGAGTTCCAAGTTTATTGTCGGTAGTTTTTCTTGCTTGGACGTAATTTTTTTGATAAGATCAGAACTGAATATTTCTTTAACCAAGATTCAGTCTAGCTGGGGAGTTCCAGCGGGATTTTACCGTGGGGTCTGCCAAGGCCAACTAGATATCTACAGGCCTGCTCCAATCTGATGATCACATGATCTGACGTCATAATCTTAGGCTTTCAATTTTGTAAGTTGAGCTTGCTTCGCCGTAGGACTAGTGCTAGTGAGATAATTGTTTACATGTGTTTTTTCTTCTGAAAAATTTTGTATTTTACCGGAAAGTAAAATATTATATTGTGAATTCGAATTTATAAGAAAAAGTGTGTTTTAGAATGCCAAGAAAGTGTAGTGTACCTAAATGCCGATCAAATTACGATAGCACTACTGAACATGTGTCCACTTTCAAATTTCCTTCGGATCCTGTACTCTCTCAGAAATGGATAAAAAATATTAATCGCAAAGATTTTGTAGCTGGCAAACACAGTAGTGTATGCATTAAGCATTTCGAAGAAGAATTTATCGTTCGAGAAGATAAAGCTGTTCGTGAGACGGTATTAGTAGTTCCTAGAACTATTCCAGCTTTAAAAAAAGATGCTTATCCAACGATTTTTCAAAACCAGCCATCTTATTTATCGAAGAAACTTCCCACAAAAAGAAAAACACCGGAAGAAAGAGAAGCAGAAATTGATATTCGTTGTGATAAACAATTTGAACAGTGGAAAAAGAATGATATTATTAGCGATTTTGAAAACCTAATAAATGGTTTTGCAAAAAAATAGATCTTCCTTCTTCATGGATATTCATTACCAAAGGTAAGATCTTTTGGCTATCGAAATTAGAATTTTTAAACTGTCCAAAAATTTTTAAACTGTGCTTGTATCTTTAAAAATATTGGAAGATTTAAATGTAAGAGTTTTTTTCAATGAAAATGAAATTCCCATTGAAAAGTTCAAATGGATATTTGGAGAAGAAAAGCTATGTGATAAATGGTCTAAACTTGAGACAATGATTAGCCATTTGGATGGTTTTTCTGCTTCTGATATTCATGATGACTGCAATTTAAATTTAGATAAAATATCAAAACTACTGTTGAAATGTGCAGAAACAGAAAATAATCCACATTCTGAGAAATTTAAGTTTTTGTATGAACAGATTCAATTAATGCAAATGAAACAGCCTTCGTATAGTGCAGAATTCCTTGCCTGGTCTTGTTATATATTTTATTGTAATCCAAACAGCTACAATATTATACGTAACAGTAAGTATTTTATATTGCCTCATCCGTCATACTTAAGGAAGTTATCTCTGAAAATTGGCCGAGCAGATTCTGGATTACAAACAAGTCACTGGATGTATTTGAAAAAAAAAAAAAATGTGAAATTTTAAATGATTCTGAAAAAATTGTCAATTTATTATTAGATGAGATATATATAAAACCACAAGTTTCGTATAAAAGTGGTCGTGTTTTAGGTTTTTCGGATAATTCGCAGATGGAGGCCACAACTCTGCAAACATTTATGATAAGCTCTATATTATCAAAAAACAGAGATATTGTAGCAATGTTTCCCGTAAAAAACTTATCATCACATCAATTATTAATATTTACAAAACAAGTAATTGACCATGTACAGTCTTGTGGCTATCGAATTATAACTCTAATATCAGACAATAATAGAATTAACAGAAATATGTTCGAAATGCTTTGTGGTGGTGCATTAAAATCCTCATTTATAAACCCTACCATGCATAATCTTCCTATATTTATATTATTTGATACAGTTCATTTATTGAAATCTATACGAAACAACTGGTTCAATCAGAAAGATTCAAACCAAACATTTTTTATATACCGTCATTTGAAAACTCAAATATTGTTTACAATTCCAGTGTTCTACATTTAAAAAAATTGTATGAAATAGAAAAAAATGATAATATTAAAATGGCTCCAACTTTATCAAGAAAAGTTTTATTTCCGTCTTCTATAGAGAAGCAGAATGTAAGTACTGCTATTAAACTTTTTGATGAAAAGACTTTAGCTGCTCTGCAAATTGAATCGCAGAATAATAGAACTGGGTATGGAAAAGATGTCTTAGGAACTAAACATTTTATTGATATAATTTTAAAGTGGTGGAAAATTGTGAATGTTAAACACTCTAAAAAGGCCTTACAGTTTCGAGATGTATTTATGCAGCCTATAAGGACACCAGAAGATAAAAGCTTAGAATATTTATCACAGTTTTGTTCGTGGCTTATATCATGGAACGATTTTTGCCCAACAACAAAAAACTGTAAGTCACAAATTGGGGAAACTGTCAAAAGAAACCCAAGTTGCTCTTCTCCATACAACAGCAACATTGAATGAACTTTCAAAGTATTTGTTAAAAGAATTTAAATTACCTTTTATTCTTTTAGGAAAATTTCAGACAGATAACCTTGAGGGACGTTTCGGTCAATTTCGAACAAATGAGTGGCTGTAATTATAATGTATCCTTACAGCAGATTATAGAGTCGGAAAGAAAACTAAAATTAATTAGTTTGCTTAAAATGCAGTCTTCTGAGAAAGGTTCATTTATTTTACAACATTTTTCTTGTAATGATATTGAAGATTTTAATGATGATCAACTTATTGATAAGGAATTTGTTGATGTTTTGCATCAATCCAATGATGTTAATGTTACAGAAAAAGATACAATGTGTCTAATTTACATTTCTGGATATGTTTGTAGATCTGTATTGAAGCATATAAATTGTAATCTCTCCAGGAAAAAATTAATTCTTGACAAAGAATTAATGATAGTTGAATATTGTGAAGATTTTGCGTACTTAGCTGCTATTGATCGAGGTGGTTTATTTTGGCCAACAGAATTCGTGCTTTTCATTAATACCTCTGCATTTAAAATATTTTCAATCCTAATATCTGAAATGTATGAGAAATTATATATATTTCATCAAAAAATCAACGTTCTATATTAATAAGTCTCATCACAGAGAAAGTTGAAAACAGGATTATTTGGGAATGATAGTATTTGTGAATGTGGGCAAATCATTGCATGATTTGTTGAAAAGTTGTGCCACATGCATTTCCAATATATTGCTGAATAATTACTGTAAGGTTAAAAATAACAATT